AACGCTTCAGTTTAGTGTCACCATACTAAAAGCATCGAAAAGGCGGTTTTTCAGCATTCAAATAAGCCAATTAATCGACCTTGAATGTGACGTGGATACGGTTGAGATTCATTCATAGGCTTTAGGTGATTAAGCTGGTCAAGTTGAAGGGGAATAACTTCCCAGTCCGTCCTTGGGGACGGAAGCCTCCGCATCACACGTCCCGGCGATAGGCAGAGACCAAGATTTTACCATCAGCTAGAAGGTTCTAGTACCTTTGTTAGCCGGGCCCATGGTTTATATTAATATTATCTCCACAAGTCTTATAGGCTATCCTAGTACAAGCGTCCTGGCGTCGGGCCTAAGTGAGCCATATTGTTTCATACAGCACGTGCCGTTCCTACCGGCTCTGTGACGTTAACCTAAAGCTCTAGTTCTCACTTCGCGCAGCTCCGTTCACTCCCTCTGGGGATTCTTCTTTCATACGTAGTCTTTCAAACTTGATTCAATGGTGTCAAGCTCCTTCTGCGCCGCTAGCGCTACTACTTTGAAAGCCCGCCCCTGCTTAGTGTCCGTGAATGAGGGAGGAAGGAATTTCTGCTTTCTTACTCTCTGTTCAAGGAGACAACACACCGGATTTGCGGCATCTGAACCAGGAACCTGTGATTCAGAAGCTAGCCTTTCACCCTATCCAATGACCCCGGATAAGAACCAAACATCTCATTCTCAAGTGCCTCTGCTGGCCCAGCTCCACCTCCTTTTCTTTCTCTTCCAGCCGCTCCGCTGCCAGGCAGCATTCAAAGTCCAATAAACCAATTACTTTACCTGTATTCGTATCCTTGCCAGCTAACGGGAACTACCAAACCCAGCTCTCCTGATCTCTCTCCCAATGGAAGGAGGTGACCCAATAGAACATCTTTCGAAGGTAAGCTACAAAGCATCCATCAAAAGGACTCGGGGGGTGGGGAACTGGAGGGTAAGAAGCAGCTGACTAGAGCCATTAGGCATCATCTCAATCTCCGGATCCAAAGCAAAGGTTGCTTGCATACTCCACCTCCTTCTCAATCTTTTGATTCCGATGCTTCCAGCAAGAGGTCAGGGAGAGTAAGCAAGCTAAGCTACCTTGCTTTCATTAGCATAATCATAACAACTAGAGTGAAGTGCTTAGTAGAGAAGCTTCCTTGCCTTGCTTAGAGCTTTCATTGTTAGCTTTTCTTATATCTTGCCTACCGGAGCAGAACCACTAGCATTATTAAAGAGCGAGAAGTGCCTTGCATGCTATGCTTCCTTTCTTGCCTGCCTCTCTTGCTTGGAATGAGCTAGCCTGACTTCTTACCTGACTTACCTGACAACTCGCTTGAAAGAGCATACTTAAGAATTACAACTCCATTGCTTAGGCATTATTGTGTTTATTATATTGCTTACTTAAGAATCCGTACTAGCATGAATTAGCTTCCTTTAGCCATCTCTTCTGATCTACGACCACCCCAGATTCTAAGAATAAGCTCTCTCTGTCTCACTAAGGTAAGGGATAGGATTTAACTTGTTTGATTGAAGGCTATCCCACGAGGAGGATCCTATTGATTTACGAAGCACAGGGAAGCTCCTTGATGGCTCTACCACCTAGAAGCTAGACTGAAGCCTTCTCACACTAACTACGGGAGAGAGAACTTCATAAGACATAAGGATCTATAGAAATACCCCTCTCTACGAGCTACTTCTCGTTGACAGAAGCGCGAACTCGTTACTCGGTTTTTTAATCTTCCTCGGACGATTGAGAGAGCACTGCCATCTCTTTGAATCACACTCACAGCGGGACTTCATTAGACATTAGGAAAGATAATATTCCCCTGATCGTACCCTCCGAGCTACTTCTCGTTGACAACCACAGAGGCACTTCCTCTTAGTCATTCACTAGAGTTCTTTCTTTTTAAAGAAAGGGGTGGTAGAGCAAGATTCGCGCATCCAGTTGTCCGGTCAAAAAGAAGAAGGTTAACAAGCGCAAAAACAATACTCAACAAAATGCTCAATCCACATCCAGAAAACAAAAAACGAGAGTCTAAAGAAAGAAGAGGGGTCGTGCCCAGTCCCAAACGTTCTTCAGTTCTGCCTTTCGGGAATCAGATGATGAGAGGGCCAAGGCTAGATGATCGTGTCATTCTCTATACGCCTGAAAAACCGTCGTATTCTATCTCTTTTTTTTTGCCTTCGTCCAGTGGAAGGTTGAATTAACCTAGGTTTGCAAAACTTATGTTGCAGGTGAGTCACCACTTCAACAGGAGATCGAACAAGGCTTCTTTCGGCTGCTGAGGATCGCTTTGTGCCTGACTCCACTCACTACCTTTTAGCGTGAACGGATAAAGAAAGGCCATCAAAGAGCTCGGTACCAAACAGGCACAGCTAAGGAATCGTGCACTCAAAGGAACATGTCATCGAAGAGTTTCCAACATTCATTCTCAAGCGGGGAGCGAGTTCAAGACCAAAGAAAGTATAAGCATAATTATCCCTTTACTCAAGGATAGCAAGAAAAGAAGCGACTGTTGAGGACAGAGATAGTAGGCTCTCGTAATTGGGTTCGATTCCCGTTTGTCTAATTAGCGAGAGTGGATTATGAATCCGCCGTTCCCTTGCTAGTGGAGTCACCCGTTCCAGATCATGTCATGTGAACCCCCTAGTGGTCAATCTCCTCCTATCCCCAAACGCATCCAGTGGCCCTATTTGAGAAAGAAAAACCAACGTTAGTCATGTCAGATAGGCAAACATGATAAAGGATTCCATCGCCTAAACGGCTCTATTTGGGTACGTCCTTTAACGGCCGAGCCCGAACAGCAACGGGAGAGGAAGGCTCTATGTCCATGAGGTCTCGAGCTGCTTTTTAATCACCCCTTTCTGCTTATATAGTAGATCAATAGCTTGTGAACTCCTTGCTTTTTTGAAAGCATATCTATAAAACATTCCGATTCCAGAACTAGGCTGGGTCAAATACTATACTAAACGTTCGGCTAGGAATGAAGAAGCCGTAAAGCCCCTCGACACCTATAGAGGGAGATTTTAGCATCAAGAACGATATTGATGATCCAAAACTTTTTTATTTAAAGAAGCAGCAGCCGTGGTTCCTTCTCATTCTTCAGAGTCTGCTAATCGGAGAGCTCATATATATTCCCGATGAAGGGATTAAACCGGTCACCCTCTCTGAAAAAGATGTTAAATGTTTGCTTGTTTTTAAGCGCTGTTGGGCACAGTAGGAGTCGATCTTTGCAAATCGCCATAAAGTTGCTTGGAAGTTTCCATCTCCTCGATTCATCAAGCCCTATCTCCATTTAGATTAGAGCGAAGAAGTACCTATTGGTCAAGCCAGCTCCCCTTTATCTATCTTCCCCAATTTTGCAGGCAGGATCGAAGGGGGTCGTTCCCTTCTCCTTATGAGATCTTTCAGAATATCTCCTACATATAGTACCATATGAGTGACCATTGGGATGATCGTCCCCGTTTCAAGTAGAACCGATTCCCCTTCGCAGCCTCCGTGGGCGCCCGATCAAATCACCTGCTAGACTGGCCTCCAAGCTCGATCTCTATGTAGCTATGAGAGACTTTCCATCCGCTTTACCCGTCTACATTTCCGAAAGGTAAGGCCAGGTTAAGAAAGAGAGTAATACCTACGTTTCGGATACGCCTAACCCAACCACATGAATAAACTAGGGCACAGGAACCCAACAATTGGTTGATCGCTCTCCCGCTTCTGCGAGGTTTATAGAACAAAATAACCCTTCCACTTATCTATTTCCAAATCTATGCTTACGATTTGAATAGCCGAACCTTCCATTCCAAAGAAAAGAGTAGATAGGTGCGGATAAATAAGGCAGATAGGGAAAGGGCTTTCTATTTATATAAGAAGCCTGTTGTTTGGCCTGGCTCTTATAGTAGTACTAATGGGCGCACTTTAGAACAAGATCAAAGTAGGCTTCCCTCATTCTATCTAATTAATACGGAATGCCCCCTCTTTCTTATAGGAAAGACTTTCTTCAATAACTTGAATGCTGCAAATTCCGCCTTTCTTTGTATTTCGTATACCAACCTCCGGGGATTGATGGGTTTTGCAATAAGGCAGCCAGGTGCATAATTGGGCCCATTCGGCATGCGCTCTTAGAGAAAGAAGCCTCGGAAAAAATGCAGAAGGAGAATCCCGTGGAATGTGAAATAATAAAGGCTAGCAATTTTCATTCTTCATTCTATAGTGTGGTGTGGCCCGCCCTAGGAATTCGACCACGCACTGTGAGTTGGGTGAGCGGTGGGTCTCAGTACCATGGCTTTTAATGGCCTTCGATGCTTGTTCATTTCTTGGGAAGAAGCCCTAACCGGATAAGAGGGAATGTATCCCACGTATAGATAGAAGAGAAGGGTCGGTCCCTATCTTTTTTGTTAATATAAAGGTGCAGGTGCCCCAATGTCTCTAATATGGGATTTGGCTGGATCTACACGATACCCATAACCAAAATAGGGCTCCAAGCCGGGCTGCTTCATTCAAGTCTAGGGTCGGGCATTGATGGGTTCCATATTTCTCTTCGACACGGACCAAGACGGGAAAGAAGCTACCAATCTGAAAGACCCAGTGAGCACCTCAGTCAAACAAGATCGATCGTTGCCCCCCTTTCCTTACTGTATTTGTAGTTGAGTAAGGAGTTTAAGCTTCTAGTTTTCACTAGTATGCGAAATGTATGGTTGATAGGGCTCTTACCTCCTCAATGTTTATAAAATAATCCTACCTGAAGGAGAGTGCATCGAAGTGCCTCCTGGCAAGAGGGAGGAGCGTAACGTCTACTAGTTGGCTGTAGTTCCTGTAATCCAATATTGCTTCTATCGAAGAGCTGAGGAGATAGATCAAAGAGTAGCGAGGACTCTTTTGACAGACATCCTTAGCAGCGTATTCCTTCAGTCCAATGAGGATAAAGAGTGAGAAGTCTTAGCCTCCATCTTTGAACCTGGTGTCTCAACATCTGCAACCAATTATCCTAAAGGAGTCAATGGGATGCCCTTCTTTGAGGCTATTGTTTTCCTCACCCCCTTCTTTCTTCCGGGGAGAAGCCCATCTGAGAGTGCCTCAACCAAGGCAACTTTCCGCTGCTGCTGTTAGTGCTTTTAATAGTGTGATTTGTTCTCTGAGTGATTGCCCTTAGGTACTTCCGCCTGGAAGCTCTCTCAGGCTTCTTGCTTTCCCTATTGATGTTCACCTACAATTCTTTCAGAACCTTCTTTCGGAGCCCAACTACGGTTACTACGATGGAAGTTCAATCCCTCGGTGAGTTAGTTCGTAAAGACTCATAAATCCATCAAGCGAAGCGAAGGCGCAGATGGAAGACCGTGTACGTGTAGCTAGACAATTACTGGTAATAGAATCTCTTTCCTGCTATTAGGATGTAGCTTCATTTCCTTCCTGTGCGCATTTGTGCATAAGGACTAACGAACAAGCAATGGATTGAGTAAAGCCGTTGTGCGTTAGACTAATTAATGGCAGCCCTTTGATTGCAGCAGTAGTTTTCTTGCTGGATTCGCATCTCCAGACGTGAATATGCCCGTGTTCCTTCCCCTTCTTCTTGATCAAGGAATTTCATAAGGCTAGCCCTCCCATTTAGGCATGTTAATTAAGTTTAGTACCTCCTTCAGTCTTGCATCAAGTTTAGCTCTTGATGTATTATGCGATCAATGGCTTAGGGGCGGAATTTGCTCTGACTTCCACCTACAGCGTATCATGATCACATTGTCAGTCAGTTTCTATCCTCCACAATAGCAAAAGTAGCTAATTGCATAGTATGAAAGTTCGGGTAGACCCTTTCCTTTTGACTATTCTGTATGGCTCTGGATATACTACTTTATATGTTTAATTCCATTTATCTAAAGTAAGGGCACTAATGAGAGCCCTTCTCTCTCCTAGTCACTCCACTCATCCATCTTAACATTATTATCATTTCCGATGTAGAGCTTTCTTCATAATGAGCTTGCTTAATTGGCTCATCTCTTATTCACATCTTGGCCTTGTCTCACCCAGGTTCATTCCTTCATCTTTTCTCTTACAATTTATACCTCAATACAAGACTCTTATTGATGACTGACTTCTATTACTTACTGGGTTCATTTGACTGGGGCTGGCATAGAGTAGAGCACCTATCTACTCAAGAGTCTCAGCACTACAAGAAAGATTGGTTCTGTCTTTCTTCTTGAAAGTCAAAGTGCATGTGTTTCCATTCCTTTCTTTGTTCTTTCTTGCTAAGGTAATAGATTAGTGGCGACTCTTTCGGTGGAGAGACTAGCTGTACCTACACCCGGGTCAATATGAGCAATGCAGTTCATCCAAGGAGAAAGGGAATTAGAATTATAGAGCTTGCTGTAGTAAAGGTATGTGCGTAATTCCAGTTGCCTATCTATCTCTTAACTTTCATTTTCTCTTAATCTTTCCCTCGACGTAGTTTTCTAGGACAGGGCTACTTGCTTGCCTGCTTCCTCGTATTTCCACTCAGTCAGAGCCAAGCGATGCTAGCTACGTTTTAGTTTGTATTTATTAAGTCAATCATTCCCGGCTTGCAGCTTTGGCTTTCTGTTTTGTCGAGAGAGTGACTTGCTTGTGATTGCAGGAGCATCGATCTTTGCTTAGGAAAAATAAAACGTCTCAACACCTCTTCCCGCAACGGCCTATTATACTGACTTATGACTAAACAAGTCCGAGCACATTTGATATGGCTAAGGCCTATGATAGAGTGGACTCTGACCCCGGTAAAAGCTTTTCTGGGTGACACCCTTAATAGATAGATAGTAGGGGCGCGGTGGACTAGCGAACGAGAGCTTACTGGAAGGTCACTCTATCTTCTCTGGGGTAGAGGCAATGTTCAGTGCACTTTCGAAGACATCCGAGTTTGAGGTGAGGAGAGATGATGGTACGGATGAGAAGGGCAGCACGAGAACGAGCTTTCTTTCTAGCGGGAAGCGGCCCCCTTTCCATTGAGAGTCCTCCTAAGCCGATGGGCTTTACCTGAAAATAAGGTATCGAGACCTACTGACATAGATTAAGCAGCTACTAGATCCCCCGTCTTGTCGAAGAATCAAATACTTCGTTCTCATCGATTGGGATTGACTGTCTTCTTTACTTCGACAGATGTGGTCAACCCCAGCTTGCTTATCTACGGCTGCCATATTCCGTGTAACTTAATGAATTTGATCCAATCCAATAAGCTACGAAACTAATTAGACAATGGGTGATGCAATTGCGAATCCTTCTCAATATAAATTATATATGAATTGGTCCGGTCAAGTAAAGAAATTAAATGCTCCAGTCAAGCGGGAAAGGGAATGCTTTAGTTAAGGAAAGCTTCTACGCCCGAAAAGCATTCTTCATCGACAGTGGAGTGGGCACAAGTCTAGTCAGCGAAGGAGAAGGGGAGGAACGCGACAAAGCAGATCTGGACTTTAGTTCAGAAGTTCCGTCGATGTAGGCGGCGAAGAGCAAGAAAGAAGACACATTTCTAATAAAATACGTAATTAGAAAGGTGAAGCCGCTAAAGGGGTGTGAAAAGGAATGAGAGATGTTAGGCGGGGCGAGAAAGAGTCTCAAGTACGGTTTCGGAAAGCGAGTACGAGAAAGAAAATCTCCATTTCTACAGCAAGGAGAGAATAAGCCCTGATCTTCCATTTCATAAGAAAGGATCAATGCAAGTCGTAGTTCGTTCCATAAGCATTGGAGTCGTGCCTGAATCCTTTGAAAAGCTTCTATCCGACAGGAGAAAGATTGTGTTCTAGCTGGCTTCTATCCGACAGTACCCGCCTGTGGTCTACTCAAAGGTTGCCCGAGGATAGTTAGATTGATTCAAAGCTTGCAAGGGACTAAAGATCTATTTCAGAAGGGAATGGGATAGGCCAGGCGGAAATACAGAATTAGAATATCCGGAAGTGGGGGTTGAACAGATGGGTCAGATGGCATTGAAAGAGGATGGGCTTTCTCGAAGGCTCGGGAGCAATTGAATATTCATGTGCTCAAGAAGCAGTCTTTTAGGCCGCTTGGAATCTCAGTCAAGCATATTCGCAATCCTTGGGCAAAGAGGTAGTTGACTACTCGACCAAAGAAAGACCGTCAAATGGGGCTTATATACGCAACCCACCTTCTCATCTCTCATTCCTTTTCTGACCTACGGCACTGAACGTCAACCCCTCTGATAGAAAGTCAATGAGCGCGGTGCAACAAAGCTTCTAGTTTCGGTATCTCTCCCGTGGGTATACCCTTCAATAGTGAGTATCTCTCTCGTGAAGTAAGAATTTATAATATGAGCTGAATCCACTACTGGAAAGGCTGGAGGGCGAAGACGAAGTAGGGTTGAGTCTCAGGAAGCGTTTAGGCCGGGTTCGCAGCATTCTTCAAAGACAGGTACAGTAGCAACTTCAATCTCAGGGGAATAAAATGGATAATCAAACTGCTAAGGTGAGTTTACTCTCCCTTTAGAAGATGGAAGTTTACTTACAAAGAAAAAGGGAAGCGTTGGTATAATATTATTTTTAAGTCTCAGTTCTTTCTTTAGTAAGGGAATTAGCTTGTTGCTCCAGGGAAGGATCTATGTAATAAGAGTTTAATAAGGATTCTTCTAAGCGCTGGAGTCCGAAGGGTCCGAAGGAGTGGTATCAAGCCTGCTCGTAGCTCACCCGTAACCCGTAAAGTAGGCAATATGTAATATTGTAGTAGGAGCCTCTTACTCCATCCGAAGAGGAGAATCTCTATTAAGCTTTCTTTTTCTTCTCAGCCCAAGTGAAAAGACAGCTCGCTCAGTCGAACCGAACTTCGAATCCAATAAATCCAATGTATCATAGAAGGATAACCTGTGAGTTAGGGATGATGTAATTAAGAAGGATAAGCTGTGAGCTAGGGTAATATGGAATATTACAACGGTTCAGCAAAGACAGGTTAGAATGGTAATATAGATAGGTAGTTTGCTCACGAGCTGCAATCAATAGAAAGGGATCCACCCGAAAGAAGAGGATCGGATCCACCTGAAGTAGTCAAGTCCCAATCAATGGAAGAAGTGGACTCTCTCCGACCTGCGAGCCATGAAACAGAATCGATTGAATACGTGGGAGTTCAGAAGTGGAAATCCATTAGTGGCATGAGAAGAAGTAGGGACGGGACTGAGGGAAGTCATTCCAGGCAAGAGAGCCAATCAGGGAAATCCTCCCGGTAGAAGCGAATAGACAGAAGTAGGAAAGAAATTAGGAAAATCTCTTAAGAAAGATCAGAAGGCGAGATAGCAGTGTTCATTCAGGCAGGGGTTTCTACGAAAGACCCGATTGCTGACTCTTCTAGTGTTCACCACGGGGATTGAACAGAAGGGGAAGAGGAGATTTGACCCTGTGCCGATGCCATTATCCCAGTTACTTCCTCAACTCATTGCAACAAACCTGGTCACTACGGTTCCTCCAAAACCTGTAACTGATCCCCCTCCAAAAGGATTTGATCCCAATGCCCGCTGTGATTATAACATGGGAAGCCCAGGACACTGGACTGACAGATGCTTCAGATTGAGGCATAAGGTCCAGGACCTCCTCGATCAAGAGCTCCTGAATTTCGAGACTGACCAAGGAAGCAAACCAAATGGGAATAGCAATGACATCGGACTCTCCAGCAACAAGATCAGTAGCAAAGGCAGAATATTAGATCCTTCTCAGCTCATCACACCGCCAGGAACCCGAGTTCGGCTCAAGATCAAAGAAGGGGAGGATTTACCAGAGGTTGCTATGATAGCCTCAACAGGAGGAAAGCCAGCAGAAGAAGCTCTAGTAAACAAACCCAGTGGCCGGAAACATAGAGCAGATAAAAGTACAGATGAAGGAAATGATGCTCCTTATGAACACTTTAGTAGCAGCACAGGGCACCCCAGGAACTCAGTTCATTACTCCAATGCTACAACAGTCAGTACTCACAGGTACCATTCCGACATCTCGGAATACAGTCAATACCTCTCCAGTGGGGAAGAAACCTAGAAAGATTTATCTTCATCCAGAACGAGCAGTGCATATAAAAGGGAATTGCAATCAGGAAGCCACTCGACTAAATCCCGCATCTCCTTCAGGGAGCCAACGGGAAGGGTCCACTAAACTGTTAGGAAAAAGCAAGAAGTTCAAAAATGATTCTCCTCATGTCACCACTAGGGTTGCTCCCGGAATTTCCCTTCACTATATCACCAAGTTCGGTTGCACTCGAAGGGCCGGATTTCTGCTCGTTAGCGCTTTACTAATAGAATATATAGGGCTTTTCTCGCTTGTTTAGTAAAGTCGCTTCGTTCCATTTCCTTAACGGACCTACGGACTAGCTAAGGTTTACTTACATAGTTGTTCTTTCTTTTCGCAATTTCAAGTTAAAGCTAGCGTTTTTCAGCTTGCTGTTTGCTTTGGTCTAGTAGCTTTCTTCCTTTGCTTTTGAATGAAATCAGCAGTAAGAGTAAGTAAGTGTTCTCTTTCTTTCCTCTGCTTATTCCGCCCAACGAATCGGCTTTCCGCTCGACCAAATAGTAAAATGCCCGGTTAGAATATGTGGGGAAGAAGCTCCTAGCATATTTCAGGATGACTTTCGTTTCATATTCCAGTCTTGCAATAGGATTGAAAGGCTATGAATGTCGAATGGTCCCATAGGCGCTTTCGCCCGCCCCTGAATAAGCAGTAAGGCGTGGGCGCGTTGGAACGATCCCGCTTTGAAAGCTCAACCTCGGGAGAATCCGTTTCGCCGGTCCAGTGACTTGGCATACAAAGGCGAGTAGGGTTCTCCTCCATGTGGTGCACTCCCGCTTCTTCATACCCCGAATAAGTTTGAGCTGCTCCAAGGGACAGCTTTTTGCTGCCGGATGAAGGTCTTACGTCGGCTAAGAAGACGGAAAATTCCATCTCTTTTGCGGTCCTGGAGATCGGGGAGATAAGAGTTCGCCCTCCCTATTTTGAGTGGGTGCTCGCAAGGTCAAAGTCAAAAATTCTATTCTTTCATTAATACAGGGGTAGTGGGGAATAAATAGTTTAAGTGATTCACACCTCGAAGTAGAGTGTGTAAATACCGGATGCATAGGTTGAGTCATTCGCTAAACAACTATTTTGTTGGGCGATCAATCAGGTGCTCGCTCCTACCCAACCGGACTAATGAATGCCAACTGGAAGAACTCACTTTCCTATCGTTCAGTAGGAGATCCCTTCTTGTGGCTTGAAAATGATTACCTGTTGCTAATGGGGAGAGATCTTTCATTAGGGTTTGATGCTCCTCAATGGAGATCCCCAGAATAATAGTAATAGCTTGCTTGTGGAACCCTTTGTTTGGTACTTTAATGGGGGTATTCTTGTACAGCTTGGCCCTTTCCCTGGCGCACTGCCATCGAATCTACGAGTCCTCCTCAAACCCAATGGGATAGAATTCCTTGCGAATTAGAGGTTTCAACTTCTTCCGTGACAACCCAGAAATGTCATGGTTCCTCATATATGCATTCCATCAAGTTAGTGCATAATTTGACGATTTCGATTTTCTTTCTCCGATCCAGTTCGTTCTGTCTTCTTTCCGACGTATCACCCGTAATTGGGAGTTCAAACGAGGCCTCAACGTAGATGCTGGATGGTAACTTCTATTCTTGTTTACCTGGCTTATTTTAATTTGTATTTGTATCCCTAACTAATAACCAAAGTAATTCCACAAGAACATGAATTACTGTTTCTATGTTGTATGACTGGATGTGCATTTACCTACTGACTCCATCAAAGAGTTATTTCCAAGTTTCAAGCATATGGATGTGGAAAACGGGGCCAATGAGGTTGAAAATCTGGAATATGTGCCATTGGTATGGTTTTTTATACGCTCTACTTCCCTATGGTCTGTTATCGACTGAAGTCCCTTTTATTTATTTATTTTTATTCGTATTGTATAGTTGTCGGTCCCTTCCTTACGTCCCGATTCCCGTACCGAAGCAATTCCTGAAGAGGAGTTCCCTGTGTCAGTGTTGTTCAAAGTTTCCCTTTCTTTCCCTTCAGTCTAAGTAAGGAGTTGTTCAACTCTATTCCTTCAATGGATAAAAGCTGTAGGTGCAAAAGCAAGTTCTACTCCCTTTTTTTATTTATTAGGTTGTTTCTTATTCTCGGTCCTTAGCCTTCCGGCTTCAGTACCGTTCCAGTGGATGTAGAAGCAAGTAAGCTCTTAATTCCTTGTATGATTGAGTTTATTAGGTTCCTTTCTTTCCTGTAAGTTTACTAAGGCTGGTTCTCTTCTAGATTGAATATTGATTTAAACTTGCCTATGGCTTTATAAAAAAAGCGTAGTTTAGGTGCGGTTGTATCCGTACCCCTGTAATAAGCACCTTACGAGCGTCCCGGGCCAATGAGGGAGAAAGTCGACGGGTCCCCTGCATCATCAGATGAGGGACACGCTTTCTCCGCTGACCTAAATATGTTACAGGCTTAAGAAGGGATGGAGCTAACGAGAGGTTTGTAGGCCCCGAGCGACGTACGCTAAGGTAGTCAGCATCTGGGCCGATCGGTAGAACAACCCTCGTAGTATAGCGATAGACCGATGCTAGAGTTCCTTCTTTTTGTTTCGAGGTACCTTCCTTTTCAGTCTCTCGTTTATTGCCCTTCAGGCTAAGTAAAGAATTTAATCATTCTTTCTCTAAATAAGTTTTTTGCTCTTTCGAGCTTTCGATTCATCTGGTAACTCTTGTACCCAATACAATAGGTCCTAGACATTATTCCATCCAGGGATAAGCCCTGTAGGCATAGAAGCGAAAGATGATAGGAGATAATCTAGTCGTCCTTTGAAGCTAAAGCTCCCCTTGCCCTTCAGGTTCCCTAAGTCATTAGCTGAAGAAGTCCCGTCAATGGATAAGAGCAGGTAAAGCCACGAGCAAGCTTTATCTAAATCTGCTAACTCCTAGCTTTTGTTCCTAGCCATTATTGCCTCCAGGGAAAAGACCTATAGTCACATAAGCGAAAGATTCTTTCCTCTCATCTAGTGGAACGGGGCCTTAACCTGTTATTATTCTTGAATGGACTGATTTCGGAGGGAATGCTTCAGAGCTAAGAATAATTTGTAAGGGATCGGGCAGATGAAACACTACTTCTTTGGGATCGGAGATCGCCTTGTTACCCCCCTCGATCGGTCGGGAAGGAGACTTGGACCGCTACTTACTTAGAATGAAGGGAAAGGAGGGAGACTGAAAAAGACGGGAGGCCCGTATCTCATTCTTATGATTGGTCGCTTCGCTAAGAATGACTTAGGGTCTAAGTCTGGGTAACATCCCCTATCTAATAGAAGAAGTTAAGAGTGAAACGCTACGTGCCCTTACCTCTTCTTATACAGAAAAAGGAAGATTCGATAGGACCAAAAAGGCCTAAGTTCGCTTCGATTCGATAGGCCGCATGTAAAACAAAAAAACCTACCATGAGCCAGACCACCAAGATGCTTCAAGCCGGGTGCTTTTTAGCCACCAACAGCTTGTGTTTCCGTTCCCTGGATGAGATCAAGGATTCTTTCCATCGGATTAGTAACAGTCCGTTCTCCAAAGGACTCACTCAAAAGGGCAAAAGCATGACTTCCTTAAGGATAGAGACCAGGGGGGAATTAAGGTCAGTTGCTTCGAGTTCAAATAGCAACTTCCTGTTTTGATATCTAGAATCTCATTCAATCAAAGTCCTCAAATCGAAAGGAAGTAGTCCCTTCGTGAGCTTTCAGTGCGTAAAGGTTAGTTCAAAGCACGAAAGCACACCTCCCTCACTTCGTACTTCGTGGGCAGGGGAGGTAAACTATCTTTACTAACCCCGGGTTCCGTTAGAGTTTAATACTTGCTCATGCGTGGACTGTTCTTTTCCCTGAGGAGGACTGCTTACAGAGTTAGATGAATAGTAAGGCTTATGCCGAAGTGCACCGACTCCTTTCTTCACTCGAAAAGGGGGAGACCCGTTCTCTAAGTCAGTGGCCGGCTTCGATACTGCTTTCTTTACCTTCCCCGGGCTAGGAAGTCTATTCCCAGCTGTTCTGCCAGATTCTATAAACCTGGGATTTTTCATTAAACATCAATTTCCCTTCATAAGCCTACGATCTAAAGTTTTATTTTGCATGCGCATATAGATGAAAAATCTGTGATTGGGATTTCCCTTCATACGACGGAGATGCAAAGTGAAAAAGTTCATTTCATATAGCTGTGAAATCAGTGAATTTCTTTTTAGCCCTTTGTTTAAGATTGGTAGCAGTCCCTTTTTAGCACCACCTTTCCTTTTCTTCTCTTTCAGCAGCCTCCAATCGTAGGCCAGCTGAAGACCGAATAAAGCAGTTCAAGCCCGCTTCTGATCTCAACAATGACATCTCAACGATTGCAATCCGTAGGCTAAGAGGAACGAACCTGAAACCTTCACTTCAGGAGAAACAGAGTCTCGCGGGGAAGCTGAGATGGCCGTGGGGGGGTCCGTAGCTCATGTTCAAGCAGGGGTTTCTACGCCCGCCCAGGAATACAGATAAGGAAGTGCAGCCGAAGGTAATGCAATTGTGGAATTCCGTTCAAATAGAAAGCGCCAGTTCAAGGTCAGTCGTGAGCTGTAGGCCGTTTTCAGATAGTAGCGAACCAGAAGAAATTCCCGTAGTTGAATAGGGGGGACGTTGTAAACTTTCCAGCAGATAGTATGGAATACTCTTATCAAAACGAGCACTATACTCTTTCTTAGTTTAGGACAGAAACATACTCAAGGAACGCAAAGCTAACCCTAAATATTTCATATTACCTCAGCTCAAAGGTTGTTTACTCGGATCTTTCTTATCAAAGCGAGGGATTCGTTTCAGGCGAAATCCAATCAGAAGCTATTTCCGCTCTACCATTAATTGAAGCTATTTCCGCACCCCTGTCCGGTGGTTTGAGAAAGAAAGTCGAGACGAAAGAGAGTTATGGCATTTCTAGGATTAGAATACGGTCCTATTGATTCAATCTTTATGCTTGGCACGGAACTCTTGTTTCGAGTGAAAGGGAGGCCCGCACCGCATTCACAGGTAAATTTCCCTCTACGGGGCGGGGTGTGGAAAGCACTATAAGTTAGTTGACTTCTCGACCAAGATGGAGAAAGTTTATAGGTAGCTCACCAGTAGCAAAGCGCTTTCTCGCAGGTAGTATGAAATAAGAAAGTTGCTCACGAGCCTAATATAGATATAGATAGCAAGTTCAGTAGGGAAATAAAGTTCAACTAGAGTAGCTCAGTGGGAAAAGAAACCCTGGAATTCAGTTCAAATCGAAAGGGGAGTTCCCTTACTACTAAAAGAAAGTGGGCATAATATTCTTCTTCTCTTCTGCTTTCAGCTTCGCTTCTCTTTCGCTTTCGGCCACTCCTGCTTTTCGTGTTCACCGCCATCACCATTACCGGCGTCCTTCTTTTGGGCATAAAAAGCTGCTTTCTTAGTATAAAGAGCACCCCCAACCATTCTTTCTGTTCTCTCTTGTGAACTTTCTTCGCTTCTTGTCGAGTTTTCTTTCTTCTTTCTTTTGCCTTTTCTTTTCTGGTTTCGAGGATAGATAAGCTAGGACAGACGAGAATGTATTAGATCTTCTTCCACTTTTCCCTGTCTTATCCGGGGGACAAAGGGCTTTCTTTCCCTCTTTCGAGAGATTAAATTAACCGAGATTCAGAAGGTGAAATACTTTACTTCATCAGTTCCAGGCGTCGGCTTGAAAATGAAAGTGCTAGCTCTCCCTTTTTCTACCCTGGTCATTCCTTCTTCTTCTTCAAGCTCAAGATAGGGCACCTATTCATCAAGCCCTCTTTATCCGGATCTGGCATTCCTGGGATACATAGTCTGAGCCCCAATCTCATCCCTTTACCCCCTTTATTGAAATTGGGTTTAGCCAATAACTATCCGGCCCTTCCCTCTGATCCCTTGCCTCGGGTGGATTGAGCGACTGACCGACTGATTGACCGAACTTCCTGCCTGCCCGCTGCCCTAACTTCCTTGTAGTAAGAGCATGACCGGGTATTGAGGAATTAGTTGCAAGAAGAATTCAATCAAGAAATGCTGCTACTAAAGTCCTAACATTGGGGCATAGCGTTTTGACTATTTCCTTCCTTACTTGTCGGCGTAACGACTGAACTTTTATTGGGATGCCTTACGACTGTTCTGGATCTATTACCTGCATGACAGGAATATGAAATAGACATTCAATCAACGGGAAGTTTCTGACTACCGTAGTTTATTGGCTCTTAGGTCGGTGAAACTGTCCCTATAGCTAAAAAGTCAAGCCGAGTTCGCGTTCGAGTTCTCTTTTTGTAGACCGGATGGGACCTATAAAACTCTCAACGTTCGTACCTGCAGCTAACAAGTCAGAAGTGTCCCCGGAATCCGAGTTAGCTGTTCTAGTTCAGGACAGGACAGTATGGGACCTCTTGCTTAGGGCTTTGGAAGCGAGCAACCGCAGAAGTAGATCGGAAGTTTCCTGTTTGACAAAGGTAGCATTAGCTAAGTATAAGTAAACAGATCGGGTGTAGCGATAGAGCGGTTTCGTTTACGATTCTATTCAAACAGGCTATTGCGCCTAAGTCAATCCCTCGTATCGGCCGGCTGTCTTATGACGGGAGACGCAACAAGTAGGTGCGAAGCCTTTAAACAAACAAGCTTTCTTCGTTCGCACCTTTTAGCCTCTGTTACAGAAGTGGAAGGATTCGTTGGTAGTTTGCTCTCTTGCTAGAGTAGATATACGCGGATTCGGGTTGCCTAAGTAGAAGGCATGGAACTAGTGATTCCCTTGCGATCTTGTCTTCCTACTATAGAAGGATCAGCGCACGGATCAGGCTGTCTGACTCGCGGAAATAGGCTAATGCTATGCCTAAAAGTAAGCATTGGATGAATGCCCGGGCATTGAGAAGGAAGTCCGCTTTTCTCCATCCTCTATTACAGCATAGTTGGAATTGGATATTTGTAGATCGGATCTTTTCTGGTTCTTGAATACGGCAGGGCCCTTGACTAGGAATTCCGACAGCACCGGTTATGCGGCCTCTTAGTCAATTTGTGATGAATTCTCTTCCTATTCGTTCGCACCCGAGAGAGAGTAGCTTCCTTTCGAGCTGGGTAATCAAAAAAAGTCGAAAGAAAAAAGAGTGGTTATTCCGACATGCCGACAGTGCCATGAGCTTCTTCTTCTTCACTCGGAGTGCTTTCTGAAAGAAGATGCCCTTCCTAAACCAAGACCGGATAAAAGAAGAGCTGCAACTGCAGGGGATTCACTAGCAAAGGTAGCAGGAGTCGATAAATTGGACAATCGGGTAAGCAATTTCATTTGTAAATATCCACCCGGTTGGTATTATTGGGGGGACTCTTAGACACGGTAAGACTATTATGAACTTCAAGCCCTAGTACTTTGACTCTTAGACACCCGCTTGCCGTCTTTCCTGCTTTGCCATTTGACTTGTTTGCTGCAACTTATGGGGCTTACCCTGAGACTGCTCCCAGGGCTTAGGACTCCCGACCAAAAGAAGACTGGAACTTAATGGGCTTAGCTGCAGTTGGATGGCAGGAAGAAGTCTTTTTCTGCAACAGGTACTAGATCTTCCATTGCCTTACAGGAAACTGGCCCTACATTTACAGGGCTTACCAAAGGGGAACTCCAGGTGAAGACCTTATTAAGCACTCCAATTGGGCTTGCTTCCCAAAGATCCTTAGCTTTCTCCCAGGAGTGATACAATGGCAATAGGAGAAATCCCACTATTACGGGCTCTAGGTGGAAAACTTCTTACCCAGAGACTGGAAAACCCTTATGAAAGCCCTTTTTGTTCGCGAAAGAAATGAAACTTCTAAGAGTCCCGATATCCGCTATCAATAGCTTTAGGCACTCTAGATCCGATCCTCGTAATCTATTTTCTAGCTATCGGTAAGGGCGGCAAAAACACAAAAAAGGGATTTTCTCGACCAATAAAGAGAGGGATTTGAAGCGCGAGCCCTATCAACTCCTTTAGAAAAGAGGAATAGTTCCAGTGATCAGGAATTTGCCCTATCACCTTCGGTGCCTCCTTCTTTCAAACTCACTTTATCCAAAATCGGCTTTCTCATAGGCTTGCTCACTTAAGACATAGTACAGAATAGGGCTTCCTCTTTATCCTGCCTTACAAGGTTAGACCCTTACTACCCTCTAACCCTTAGACAATGGATCGACATGAGAGGGATTAGGAATAGAAGGACCTAGCACTATCATAGGAGTCAGTTTTCTCTCAATGTAAGAACTCTCACTAGAGAGGCTTGCTTACCTTATGACTTCAACTGGAAGGGCAGCGGGAAAGCTACTCCAAGTAAACTGACTAGCCTACGCTAAAGAACCTCTTCGCTTTGCTTTGTTCGAGTCACTTCGTCCCTCTAAACAAGGGAATTTGAAAGCTTTCGTGTGAAGAGTAAAGGTCAAGCTAGAAAGCCAGGTTCTTTCACCAATCCATCGAGTGTAATTCCTGCTATTGGGAGTTCTGCATTAAAGTAGAAGCTAGCAAAGCAAGCCAGGGAAGCTAATTGCGACAGTTAAGCTCTTTCAAGTTTGTAATCTTTTGAAAGCTATCCTGTTACAGATCCTGTTAGCAAGCCATTTTCTTTTTAGCCTGTTTCAGGCTGTTTCTGGATAAGCCATGGAAGACTCTGGAGTTTCAGTGTCCGTAACAGTTTTTCCTCCTGCCATGGGGAGTTCCCCACCAGTCCCTCATCTAGTAGCCTTCGTATCTGTCGCCTGTCCTAAAGTCCTAAGGTCTTCACCTGTTCTTTGCCAAAAAGTGAGTTTAAGTTCTAAGCCCATCTTTAGTTGGAGTTCTCCTGCAGCCCTTGGGAATGACCTTAATCGAGAGGGAATTTCCTTTGGCTGTCGGTCCAGTTCCAGTATCAATATTCCAGTCTAAATAAATAGGGGCAGCCTTCTAGGATGATTACCAAGAAGCCGTCTTTCTAGTATGATCGCAGAGCTAGAGTCGGCTCCCCAATTCATTTCTGGGGAAGGGGCCTTGTACCTCCCTACATGCATAATCTATCCCGAGCTAGGTCTCACGTGCCGGGACCTCCTTATGAAGCATGCTTATCAGAGAGGGAGAGGGAGTTTACTTGCTCGACCAGAGGGAGAGGGAGCATTTCTAGGCAAGTTTCCGGCCAGCCAATGAGAGTTTGCTTAGGAAAACAGGTAAGAGATTGAAAGGCGTATTTCAAGCAAACCTGTTAGCGATGTACTTCTAATTAGATCAGTTAAGCCATCCGTAAAGGTCAAGCCCTGTCACTCGACTTGGGATAAGAATTCTTTTTCTCAAATCTTCTTATTCTCCTGGCCAGTTCCTCTCCGCGAACTATTAGATCTATCTTAGCTTTTTTATGAGAATACTATCGAGTTACGAAGTAACGTAAGAGCGATTAAGCGTAAGAGCGTAGTTTACGTAGCGTAAGAGCTTTTTCAAAGAAAAAGCGATAGCTAGAGCGAGCGGAATACTTGAAGCGAGTATATAAAGAACTAGAGTAGAAAAAGCGACTAGTTGGAGAGAGGGGAAGAGCTTCACTCAATCCCTGCCTTTGCATCTTTCTTCTCTGAGCCCGGTATCAAAATGCTTTACTATCTCCCCGAATGAGACAGATTTCCTCTCTCTGCTCTGGAATCAGGAAGGAGAATGCCACTATGGGAAAATAGAATGAGCATGCGTCGGCCTATGCTCAGGGTCACTCTTTTCATAATCTTTCTAAAGTCAAGTCACATCTTTTTGAACTTGATTGAATTCCGGGCGTCGGAGATACACTAAAAAGAAAAAGAAATGAGCTAGATTCGCCACCGGTTAAGGAAAAGAAGAATGATGAGATCGGGTAGCCCGCTTGATTGAGTACTTAGGTCAGACTAGGTTTTGGACTTTCTAACTGAACAATTTCCTAAGGTGAACTATGCCGCCTATGCCCCCCCCCAACAAGAGTATTGGCGTCTAAGGGTTCTCAACAAGCGGTCAAGTTGGTAGGCGAAGATCGGCTATAATTGAAGTGATTGGCGGGGAGCAGCTGATAATCAAAGCGATTGCCTCCCCCAGCCTCTTCCGTTTTGCCATACAATCCAGAACTTTCTCTTTTATCCGTGGAGGAGAACCCCTTACAATGCCAGCCGCCACTCTCCCGCCGGTAGAGCCACTTGTCTTGCCATTGACCTTCCTCTCTTCATGGACAATAGTTGGACTGATGGCACCTGGGAGTTTGGATGCATCCACATTCCCCACAGTGTTGGCACTGATGACAGCTCCATTGCTCACTTCTCCAGTATTCATAAGGTTGCCAAATGGGTTTGAAGCTTCCCCAGCTCGAAGGCCCGTCCCTCCCTTTATTCCAGGATTAAAATCACGCCCATTTGGGCTTTCAACTCTTCAATCTCTTCCCTCAGACTCTCAGTCTTCCCATTGATACCAGGAATAACAGAGGAGAATGAAGCAACTCGTTCACCCCTACCCACACGGCTACCATCGTCCAGAGCTCCACCATCTTTCCTTTCCTTCAGCCCAGAATACTCAACGTGGCTTGATTCAGGACCAGAAACCAGATCCTTTTCCATAAAGCTGCTAGCAGAACCTTCATTTCCATGAACCTTCCTCTGCTGCCACATCTCCCCTTTTAGCTTCTCACTACTCAGATCAGCGACAGCTGCAGCCTCCATGGCCGAATCTAACACCTGATGGATATCTAGCTGCCTTATCCGAAAGAAGAGCCCTAAAGACTTTGCGTTCCATTAAAGATGATAACGGCCACATGGTTAATGGGGAGACTAGCATCAAGGCTGCTGCATTTTATCATTTCCAAAAGATCTTGGGACAGATCAGATCTTGCAATGTAAACTGAAATTTTTTAAAAAGTACTCAAATAGGTAGGGTGACTTTTTTAACCAACTATTCCATTTTCCGATCCAAAGAGAAGAAAGAGAGAAGAAAGGAACGAAAAAGAAAATAGAAGTTGCTAACTCGAAATCAAATTCTGAAAGATTTCGTTGAAATGTTGAATCCACTTTTATTCTTTCTCTTTTCGAACTTATTATAATTTAAGAAATTCGAAAATTCAAAGAAGGGAAGGGGAGGGATTAGTCACTGATATTTGATTATATCTCTAATCGTCTTCACCCCCTCCCATGTCAATAACTAGAACGAGAATTAAAAAAAGGAGAATATCAACGGGAATAAACGATTGATCTCTATCAATAGACCTGCTAAAGACCCAAACCATAAAGTACTTACTACCGGTGCCACGGAGAGATATGTTTTTAGATCTCGCATTTTAAATCCTCCTTATTTATTGTAATTTGTAATACATATATGATCAGACATATATGTAATTAATGATCACTTGTATTTGTACGCGGAATGCCTAATTCAAATTGAAATGTACAACGATTCAGTAGCTATTCCTTTTCTTAAAAAAAAAAGAAAAAAGTCAAATGAAAAGGACTTTGCAGAACGATCTATAAAACAATTGATATGGTTTGAGTTTGATTCTTCAACTCAATTAGTAGTACTTCTAGAGTCCACTTCTACCCGAGTGAAAGAGAAAATGTAAAGACTACCATTAAAGCAGCCCAAGCGAGACTTACTATATCCATGTGAATTATATCCCCTAGCTCTATAAATATGAAGGAATTATTCCATTATTGTTCACTAATCATTATTATGTTCATTAAGAATAGTGGAATCCCTGGCGAAGAGTCAAAAGGGGATTCTAACCTGATGAAACAATCCAATAAACTCACAATTATAAAAGTTTCTTATATGATTTCTAGTAGAATCGGAAAACATTAAGCACAAGCAAAATACGTAGATACACCCCTGGAAGTTTCAAGGGAATGGTACTAACATGTAGTAATAATAAGACCTAGTCTTTTTTTTGTTGACCTTCATTTCATTAAGTAAAAAGTATCAAAATATAGAGTCAAGATAGATCACTATCTATCACATACCCCTAATTTCGCATTTTAGCTAATCCTTACGTTACGTCTCCTGCTTGTCTATGTGAAACAATCAGAAGATAGTCTATTACATTAAAGACAATTATCTTTTCATACGAATAAAGTATCTTTCGACCTTTCCGCAACTAATAATGAAATTCCTCGTTCGTCTATCCAAATTAATTGAAGACCCAGTTAATAAACACTACATTAATAACAGCTCTGTCATATCAAGATTTAACGATTCTTTTTCATTCAAAATTCACTAATATAATCTTTCCGTGAATGGAAGCCTAGACGCAAGGATTTACAGCATTTTCATTTTAGAGACTTTCTGCTTTTCCGATATATTATAGATAACAAAAAATGACATCAGAATAGAACAAGCCGATACCTGCCCGGAGGTTGCCCAATGGCGAGTGTAGCGAAGGTCACCTCCCATCCCGTGAAGGGGCATACGTCATAAGGGGGCGGGGGCTATAGTGGTAGCAGCGGTATCCCATTGGATTTAGTAGAGATTGAGTTGGTGTTCAGTGTACCTTAGTACAAGATTGAAAAGAATGCTTTTTCATTCCAAGTGCAAGTAAAAATCCCATGCTTTTCTTGGTTAACCGCCAAGCTACCCTCATTAAGTAAGACTGTTGGTCTTGCTAAAGAGAAGAGTCTTTAAGCTACCTAAACAAAGAAATAGCCTAAAGCGGAGCAAAAAAAAGAAAGAATCTTTTCTATGAATCCACATATTCTTGGTTTTTTGTCAGACATGATCAGAGACATATTTACAATAGCCGGAGTTGGGTATATTCCTCTCGTAGTGTTACTGGTATTTAGGGCAGGACGCCTGCGAAATTTAAATGAAGAGAATATGGCCGAAAGGCTGGGAGACCTTTGTTTTGACACTATAAAGGAACTCATTAAGGATAAGATAGAAGAGTTGCTCCAAATCTATTATAATCAGAATTTGATTATGCCGCCTGGTCGGGGGTATTTTTGTACGAATTTCTTTTTAGCCCTAACAAGCTCTTTAAAAATGAGAAAAGGTTATCTCATATAGCTGACAAATGATAGATTTGGTTGAACTATCTAGAGTCCCGTTCTTCGGTTGATTTACTTGATTGGCCAGTCGAGCACAAACTCTTAAGAATGGTCGTGAGCGGGAGTCGAACCCACATCTCAGGGCAAAAGACAGACCCGGCGAATTACCTCTATTCCATCACGAGTAACGCGGTTCAGCCACTAAATCCATTCTATAAGGCCTAGTCCGCGGGCAGAATCGGATGCCTGCCGGGGGGCGGATCAGTCCTCATACAACCTCTCTTACAGATATTGAGTGAAGAGCCCCGCCTCACCACTCCCCTTCTGCTTTTCACAGAAGCCACCACAGGTGACTCGCCATGAAAAACGCCTGCCTTTCACGGCGTGAACGAAGTCCTGCTCTGCCCTACTTTGGCCTCTCTCTAGCAAAACACCGGCATTCAAGCCCAAGCCCAGGGAAACTTTAGCCGGCCGTTGCGAGACCAGGGAGCTTTAACAGTTGCTACTTAGACTATGTGCTCAGATTATGCTATTCTATTAGTAGCTTTCGGTCTCGATTCACCCTTGCCTCTACGGGATCAACTACTACTTCGCTTAGGCAAAAGATTGACTAAGTATGTATCTGTCTACATGTGCCTCCGTCTATGTTCCCCCTTCCCCGGAAAGGGGATCAGACGTATAGGACAAAAAAAAGAAAGAAGAGAAAGAACCGGGAGTTGGCGCCTACATAACTGGTTGCTTGCTTACCAAGCCATCCTGGCAAACTCTTCCGCTTCCGGCAACTTTTCGTAATAAATATACAAGTAAAGCCCCGAGGAGAAGAACAACTTTCGCCCCGGAGAATGGTAATACTTACTACGTACATTCTCATTCTCAAGATTCAACGCTATTCCTTTCACACTGCCCTTCTTTTGAAGGAAAATTCTTTATCCTATTCTGCTAATTCTCTTCTTGTTGCACTATGTCCAAGCTTTTCGATAGCAGTGGAACAAAAGTAACCATCGGATTTAAAGAATGAACCTTCCTTCCAAGATGTATGTCGTCCGACCCAACCTCAGACTCTTTCTTCCCGACCTATTTTACTCTCTGGCCGCAGTTATTTAGGTGGTATCCCGAGATTGAAGAGATCGAATTACTCCCGGGAACACACGAAACAAAGATATGAACTAGGGAAATAGAAATGGAAAAGAGATGTTTCCATTTCATCAAAATCATAAGCTTTTTCTACATCCATATGATCTACTAAAGTAGATCGGTATTGCCCATATAATGAAAGCAGATCTTGGTCCACGGAGTCCCAAGAAGGTAAGAACTCCAACCTGTCCGATGCTTCTTCGGCCAAATACGATATACAAGTGGGACCTGCACTATGAGCAAGCTGTGCGAAAAACCGCTTCTTTTTTCCGGTTTCGCAACAACTTGGGCGAAATGGGGTTCTACCGGGAAACCATGGATTTTTTAGTTTTCGCCATTGGTTACTGGTCGAGCCACTGGAATGGAATGAGATAAGAATCTCTGGAGAGCTTTCCTCTCCACTTACTCGTAACAGGCTTTCCCTCTGTAGAAGACTTCTTCCTAATGGCATAATTGTCCTTCGTTCTTTCTAATTCATTCACTTCAAGGCTGGTTCTGAACGCCGCGTAACATCATCTTCAACCAATCTCCACCGTACGCCTAGGCTTCCAACGGAACGCCTTGCCGCCCCGAAGCTAAGCGCTTGAAAAGCGCGCTAGCCCCGACGCGATGCGATTAGTGAAAGCAGCCGCCTATGCTCCAGGCGGAGATTCTCGACCCTTCTTTCGAGAGAATAGAATTCTTTTTCCATCTTCTCTCCCTCCAGCCCGGCACGATAGAGGCGGGCCTCCTCCTTAAAATAGTGCCTTCCTTTCTCTTCCCAGAAGCGAAGTTCTTTCTGGGCCTCTTCTAACTCCGCCTCGATAATTCTATTTTTGAGGCCGGGTGAAGAGGAAGGTTCCGGCTCCGGGTCCGGAGCCATGTTAAGATCAAATGGGGGTCGTATCCCACTCGATGAAGCAGGGGCATTCATGCCAGTGAGTTCTCCCATCCCCCCTGCGCCGGAGCTTCCTGCGCCAGACGTCCCGGCCGGAAGAGGTACTCCCCCCTCCATGCAAGAGATAAGAGCCCCACCTAGCGCCGAAGCAACGAAACTGGCTCCGCAACTTATCCACACTTCGGGCATTAAGGAGCTTACACCTTTAATAAAAAGAGCCCGCCCTACTCGTGTGGATACCATCCCAAAGAACTCCCACTCCTGGGCCCACCAGCTAAAGAGAAAGAAAAGTACAACTAACATCAAAAAGAAAGTCAATTTGATGAAAAGTGCTCTTTTCTTCCTCTTTAGCTGCGATTCTTCCTGAATAGCCTGGATTCTACCGTCGAGAGTCACTTTGAAAGTATTGCCTAAACTCTTACGACTCAATATGATAAAGCCTATAAAACAACGAGCTACTATCATTTCTTCATTATAGATTGAGATCTTCTTCGAACTTAATGCACAAATAGATGGAATAGCAGCAAATAGCATCTTTCTAGCATGCATATTCGTGGAAGTAAATCTCATTATGAAAGCTTATCTCTATCCCTTCAGCAGCGGAGCGGGCTGTGGATAAATAATTTGTGAAATAACTTTTGAATCGGACGCGCTCGTGATCGCTTAGATCCCCTGCCAACCA